TAAAGCCAGCTTTCCCTGATTCCAGAAGCCAAGTTCTCCCTTCTGCTAGACTGCTTTAGCGGCTCCCAGTGAGGTTTTCATACTTAATGTCTAAAACCCTGTAATGCTCTGCAAATTAAAGGGTAAGGGGTGCTGGTGGGAGGCACCATTAAGTGTTTGTGGACAGTTTGAACCCACCCAGCAGCCTTTGAGGAAAAAGCACTAGTGGTCAGCTGATGTACAGATGACAGGCCAGAAAGCTCTGTTATACAGGTCATGCTAAGTCCAAGCATGTCACACTCAGGGAGAGGGACATGTCTGATCAGAGCACATGGGGGCAAATGAAGGGGGAGGAAGAGAGCGTGGAGCACATCCTGGCCCACCAAGCCTTGAGGACGATATCCCTGCTCAGAGCAGCCAATGCACAGAGAGGACCATATGGCCGGCCCCACTACATGACATGACATTGCTCACTGACCCATAGCCCTACAGGGGACAACACTGGAGACACAGTGTGGGAATTGTGACCGATTTAACCCCACCACACCGAGGCAAAACACTAAGGACGTGCAACAGAACAGCAAGGGAACAGAACAGCGAAGTCCCCAGGAACACCAAAAATAGACTTTGGGGCCAAGTTGTGACACCCCATCTGACTCCACCGAAAAACACTCCTAAAGGCCAATAAACAGTCCTTGAACTATCTATAGGCTTTCCCTTTTTTTTTCTTTGGTCATTGTTTTTTTGTTGTTTTGTTTTTCTTTTGTTGCTCTGTTTTGCTGTCTTGTTTTTGTGCATGTTATTATCTCTGAAGTCCATCTAAATAAGATAGGCTAGATGAACAATCTGGAGGAGAAAACAATGGGACCAGTGATTCTGGAGGGGCATTGGAGAGGGGGAGGTGGGGAAAGGAAGTGGTGTTAACAAACTCAGGGACAAGGGAATAATAAGTGATCCAAAATCGGTGGTAAGGAGGGTGTAGGAGGCCTGGTAGGGCGTGATCAACGGTAATATAACTGAGAGGAATTACTGAAACCCAAATGAAGGCTGAGCATGATAGTGGGACAAGAGGAAAGTAAAAGGAAATAGAGGAAAGAGCTAGGAGGCAAAGGGCATTTAGAAGTCTAAATAAAGGCATGTACATATGTAAATATATTTATATATGAGGATGGGGAAATAGATCTATGTGCATATATGTATAGGTTTAGTTTTAAGGTAGCAGATGGACGTTGGGCCTCCACTCAAGTACTCCCTCAATGCACAAATACTTTGTTCTATTAAACTGGCATTTCATGATGCTCACCTTCCCGACATGATCACAGAAGACAAATGGGTGCATAAGCAAATGTGAAAAAAGCTGATGGTGCCCGGCTATCAAAAGATAGAGCGTCTGGGGTCTTAAAGGCTTGAAGGTAAACAAGTGACCATCTAGCTCAGAAGCAACAAAGCCCACAGGGAAGAAGCACACCAGCTTGTGTGATCACGAGGTATTGAAGGAATTAGGGATCAAGCATCAAAGAACAAAAAATTCAAATCATTGTGAATGAGGGGGAGTGCAGATTGGGGACTCAAGACCCATCTGTAGGCAACTGGACATCCCCTTAGGGAAGGGTTGTGAAGAGGAGACAAGCCAGTCTGTGCGTTGTAGCAACAATGAAACATACAACTTTCCTCTAGTTCTTAAATGTTTCCTCCCACCTTCTATCACAATCCCAATTCTACCTTACAAATCTGGCAAGACCAGAGGATGTACACTGGTACAGATATAAACTGGAAACACAGGGAATCCAGGACAGATGATCCCTTCAGGACCAGTGGTGAGCTTGGTGATACCGGGAGAGTAGTGTGGAAAGGGGGAGACAATTACAAGGATCTACATATAACCTCCTCCCTGGGGGAATGGACAACAGAAATGTGGGTGAAGGGAGATGTCAGCAGTGTAAGATATGACAAAATAATAATAATTTATAAATTGTCAAGGGTTTATGAGGGAGGGGGGAGTAGGGAGGGAGGGGCAAAAATGAGCTGATACCAAGGGCTCAAGCAGAAAGTAAGTGTTTTGAGAATGATGAGGGCGACAAATGTACAAATGTGCTTGACACAGTTGATGTATGTATGGATTGTGATCAGAGTTATAGGAGCCCCCAATAAAATGGTTAAAGAAAAGTAAGAAAGGCCTGGTGACCTGCTTCCCTAAAGATTACCAAGAAAGCTATTGTCATTGAGTGCACACTGAGTCAAGGCAAACCCACGTATTACAATGGAGAACTGCTCCCTAGGGTTTTCTTTCCTGTAATAGTTACAGCTGAAAATTTCCAGGCCTTTCCTCCACCAAACACAGGGTGGGTTCAAACAGCCACCCATTATGTAAGTTGCCAACCCCAAACCATTTGTGCCATCCAGCCAAGAAAGCCTTATGGGGCGCAGGTCTGCGATGAGTCCCTCTGCACGAGTTAATATTCACAGAGTTAGAACTGACTTGATGGCAACAGGCTTGGTTTGGTTTAAAGGTAATAAAAACAAAAAATTCTACTGCCACTGTGTCTTCCAATTCATAGTGAGACTGTAAATCGTGATAGGAATAGATCACCCCCTCCGTCTCCCTTGGGGGTGCTGGTGGGTTTGGAGTCTAGCGCCAACTCACAGCAGCACTGAGGATGCGAGTGGAGATAAAGACCTGCATGGCTCACAGAGTGGAGGTCTTGGTGGCACAGGGAATGAGGAGACTTTACAGTCAGGAGGTAGTAGTGACTTGTGTGTGACACTTGGGATCACATGGAGGGGAAAAGGTCAAGCCGGGGGCCCAACTAGAAATGTGATGTATTAAGTGTTGTGTGTGAGAAAGGGCCAGAGGCTAGAGAGGCATGGTGAAGTAGGATAGGGCACAGCTAACATGCACTGTGTGGACAAGCGGGACAGATGTGTCCATGTGGTATCTGAGCTTGCGGCTAGAAGAAGGTTCAGAGTCCCTGAAATTCTATCAGCAAAGGGGGAACATGGTGCTCTTGAGACCTGCCGATTCAGGCATCAGGGACACATGTAGGGGAGAACTGGAGACTCGGGGAACTTTGAAAGGCAGCTAAGAAGTCTTTCTTTTTCAGATTGTATGCCTCTGGTTACCTTCCATAAAGGAGAGGATAGGAAACTGGCAGGAAGCTCACATAGGGAGAAGCAGATACATTGCTTGGAGCTTTGTTCTCTTCTGGACATGACCATACTACATTCCCATGTAAATCAATCACAACAGTGTGGTGCTTGCAAAGGGCTGAAAAGGGAACACTCATCAATGGAGTTGAGATGCCATATTAATGTCAACAATGTTTTTATATCAACAGTGCATAGTCTGTTGCTTCCATGGCTCCCAGAACAAATGTGTATCCAGGGGGCAAGTTACCTGTTCATTCCAAGCTGCTTAGATCCCACCCACTTTGCCTGCCTGGCCAAGCATGATTTGAGATACTCCTTTCCATGATGACAGGGCTCATCACAGCTCAATGCCATCCTTGTTAGTCCTGAATTTCTATCATATAATCTTGTCTGCGGAGCTTCTCGAACACTTTAAAATATTCCCTTGTCTTTTCAAACATTCTTAGTATATACAACCTAGCATGGCACATTTTCTTTAGCTATCTTACTCTTACTTATCCACCTGGCCCACTGCTAGTCTATTGTCTTCATACTGTGGGTGGCCTTACGTGCTGGTGTGATGCTGAAACCTGTGCCACTGGTGTGTCAGATAGCAGCAGCAGCGTCACCCCTGAGGGCTGGTTTTCACCAGAGCTTCCAGCTTGAGACACATAGTAGGAAGAAAAGCTTGGCAATCTAATTCCAAAACTTAGCCCATGAAAGCTCAGTGCATCACAACATAATTCTGTCCTGTTTGCAAATAACGTGCCCACAAGTTCGCAGAAATTGAGTACAGCCGTTCTGGCATGGCATGCCCATGCACATACCACACATGCCTCACGATGTTTCCAAAAGTGAACTTCGGCCTCATGTACCCATCTCCTGTGAATCATATTGTTGTGTTCAGTTTCTTTAATCTCCTTGTCATATGTGTAAAAATAGCCCCAAAATGTTACATGTACTCACAATTACATTTCTATTTAAAATTTCCCAAAGCAACAAAGTATAAACAGCCTCTTGTTCTTTTAAATCAAGGCCCAGGGCCATTTCTTACGAATCTTTAGCTCTCTGCACATTCTGACCTCTTAGTTTCAACATGGTGTGCTGTTGCCCCGGTCATGAGAACAGTGATGGCCTTGGGCTTTCAAGTCATATGAAACTGTTGCCTACCGTAAGAGGATTTTCCATGTGAGCAGAAGCAGAAATAGCAGCATATAAGGAGGAGTAAGGAGTAAATTGGCTGAGTGAGTTTAGGAAAATGATACATGCTAAAGGTACCGTGCTGTCTGACCCACTGCTGGAAGACCAGACCCACAGAAATAGCCCCGCGATAGGGAAGACCGTCTCAGGACTGGGCAAAGGTTTCGTTCAGCCATGCATGGGCCCCATGAGTCAGAGCTGACTCAAAAGCAACAAACAACAATGGAGGCGACGTCCTAACCAGAGAGTAAGCTTGATGAGGGCAGGGAGCGTGTCTGACTCATCTCCGTGCCCTTCATAGGGTGCTGATGGAGGAGGGGCTCATAGATAGTCCTTGACATGAGCAACTGGCCCCAAAGTGATCTTCAGTAATACTTCATTTCCGTTGTTTACGTGCACGTGTGCTATCTGCTAGCTGGGGAACATCTGCCCACCACCCTATAGCATCCTTCACAGCTTCTATCGCAGCTTTTATTAAATGTTCTGAGTGGGGAGAGTCTTCAGCCTCGGACCCAGAGGGGGAGGGGGGAACGTACCGAACAACTGCGTGTACCTAGCCTTGGTCTAAACAGGAGGAATTCCTGGGGTCTCTTGGCTGCTGGTATCCATTAGGTTCTGGTGTGTTCGATGGCAGAACGGGGTGGTAGCCATAGCACGTTTGCCCAGTTTGTAAATTGGTGGCTTTTCCTTGGCAGCACTCCTTTTTCTGCCGGCTGACAGAAGATAAGAAGTCGGAGAAGTTCTTCAAAGTTTTCTACGACCGAATGAAGGTGGCCCAGCAAGAAATCAAGGCAACGGTGACCGTGAATACTAGTGACTTGGGAAATAAAAAGAAGGATGAGGAGACAGACAGAGATGCCCCTTCCCGTAAAAAAGGTAACGGCCCCTGTGTGCCTGTGCATGACCAGTCTGAGGAGGCAGGAGGGGCCTTAGGTTTCTGGCTTGGTTTGTTACTTCTAGACCCCAAAGTGCATTCTGGGACAGGGCTTGCAGAGGAAAACCAGGCTGGTCACAGTATGGTTTGAAGCAACATGAGCTGAACTCGCACTGCTGTGGAGGGTGAATTATTAAACGTTTGTTTGGTCACACTGAGTGTTGTGTTGGCAGGAAATGGACCGTGCTTTTCCTTTGATGGGCACATGCTTTTAGAGGACTCGGGTGGGGGTAGGGGGGCAATAAGGAGCCCTGGTGGCACAGTGGGCTGCATGTTGGACTGCTGACAGAACCCATAGCTTCTCGGGGTGGGGGGTGAGGCAGCGGGGGGGAGGCAATGAGGCTGTGTGCCCCTGAAAAGATTTAAATACTCTCAGAAATCACAGGGAGTAGTTCGACTCTGTCCTATGGGGTGGGTCATTGTGGGTTGGAGTTGACTCGACGGCAGTGGGTTTGGCGTTAGGGGGGAAATACTCCCTTGAAAAGTAGATGCCATTAGTTTCTCAGCTCATTCTCTCCCGTTTTCACACATTTTAAAAAATCCATAAAGCTTCTGATCCATTTCTCCGCTGGACGAGAAACAGCACCGTTGAGTGGCCACCTCCACAGGAGAAGCCCCGTGGTCC